TTAAATTTGATAATGATGTTTATTCAAGAAATTTTAATTTGTGAATTATGGTTTTATTGTTGATGATATTTGTAAATTCAAACTTGATAGTTTATTTATTAAAAACATTTTGATCTTGCATCATAATGTTAAAATTAAGTGTAGCTCAAGTAATAAAAAATTTATCTTTCTTGTGGCATAAAAAACTAGGTCAATATCTAGTAAAAGGTTAGGAAAATTAGTAAAAGATGTGATTCTTCTAGATCTAAAGTTTACTGATTTGGTGTGTGTGTGGATTGTATTAAGATTAAACAAACCAAACACACAAACAAATGAACCACAATAAGTACATAGCTTCTTGAAATTATTCATACAGGCATTTGTAAACCTTCTGATGTTCCATTTTTTGGAGGAAAAAAGTATTTTATCACCTTTATAATTGATTTTTCACGTTATGGATATATTTATTTGTTGTTTAAAAAATCTTAAACAGTGGGTACTCTTGAAGTATACATAAATGAGGTTGAAAAATAACTAGATAGAAAAGTGAAAATCATAAGGTCATATAAAGGTAGTGAATATTATGAAAAATATGATGAACTGGGTTAATACTCTAACCGTTTGTTAAACTCCTTGAAATGTATGGCATTTGTGTTCAATACACTTTGCTATAAATGCCACAGCAGAATCGTGTAGTTGAAAGGCGTAATCGTACTCTTATGGATATGATTAGGAGTATGTTAAGTAATTTCTCGTTACCCATAATGTTGTGGATATTAAGTTATCTAAAAGATACAAGTTTTACTATCCTAAACATAGTACGATAATTATTGAAACCGGTAATAACAGATTCATTAAGAGTGATGAAGTCAGTGGGAGTGATAAAAATAAGAATATGATCATTTAAGAAATTATGGTATAAATTTATTTATCCATAACTTCTAAGAAAATAATTGTTCCTTTAATTATTGAACTATATAACAACGAAGAATAATTGAATGATCAATAACTCTATAATGAGATTGCCACCAATGAATAGATTGTAAAAGAATCATAAGGAATAACATTAAGATGATCTCAAAGAGAAATGAGGTCTGCTATTCCAGATGATTATGTGATATATTTGCAAGAATCTGATTTTGATATATAGTGAGATATATACAGATCCGGTTACATATGCACAAGCCATTAACAGTAATGATTTTACTAAATGGATTAGTGCCATGAATGAAGAGATTATAAAGAAATATTCTCTCCAGTATCTAAGAATGAATCTTTTAATATATCATGGCATTAGTAGTTTATTATGATTTAGAGTTACATCAAATGGATGTGAATACAACTTTTATGAATGAGAGTTTATAAGAGGAAGTCCATATGGAATAACCTGAAAGCTTCACATTATAGGGTAAAGAATTCATGGTCTGTAAACTTAAGATGCCAATATAAGGATTTAAATAAGTTTCCTACTAATGGCATATTAAGTTTAATGATACCATTATTTCTTTTGGTTTTAAGGAAAACACTGTTGATCAGTGTATATACTTGAAGGTTAGTGGAAATAAATTTATATTTCTGATTCTATATATTGATGATTTTTCATTTGTTAATAGTGATCTTAGTTTATTATATGCAACTAAAAGTTATCTCTAAGAACTTTGAAATGTAATATATAGATGAGGCATCCTACGTGATAGAAATGAAAATATTTCATGATTGATCACGTGAATTTTTAGCATTGTCTCAGAAAACATATATTGAAAGAGTTCTAGAAAGATTTGGTATGGAACATTATTCAACCAGTATTGTACCATACATAAAAGGGGATGAATTCAACCTAATGCAATTTCAAAAAAATGAGTTAGCTAAAAGGTAAATAAACGAAAAATATTTCTTATGCATATATTATGGAGTTTGATGTATATACAAGTTGGTTGGGGATAAAAGATTATATGCTCACACTTAGGAAGACATTTTTTAATTAGTTATTTGTTTCTTTTGGCTGGAGGAACAATATTATGAAAAAGTGTAAAGTAATTTATTATTACTTTGTCTATTATGCTTTGAGGCTACAATTTATGGTTGTAGAATTTATTTCAGGATATGAAGTTATGGGTACCATTTTTTTCGGATTGCTGAAAATTTATACTGCAATTATTGATCTTCTTGTATTAAAAATGATAGGTATTAGAAAGTTGAAATACTTTATCATTAAAGAAGATATTTAGAAACAATGAATGTCTATTGAACATATAAGCACACAACTCATGATTGCAATTCATTAACGAATGGACTACCACCCAAGACATTTATGGAACATGTTAAAAGAATGAATCTTGAATGTAGTCAATGATAATGATTTTTTAATTGTGGATTGTTTAATAGTGCTTATATATATTTGACGTTTTACGCTGATTAAATGTGTTTTTTATATTTCCTATTAATTAATGTATATGTATGTATTACTTTAATAAATTGTAATAGGAATAGTCTTGGAAAAGACATTCTTGTTAGATCATTATTGATATTTCTCATTTATAGACTATGTCGAATAGATTACTAGTGTTGTGGTATATGGAAGGGACTGTATCATTTAGGGATATATAACCGCCATGACTCGCATAGGTAGTTTATTTACCATGATATTTATGATGATCAACTTAATAAGTCAATTTAATTTATGGTGCACATTAATGACTATTTTACTAAACCACTACAAAAGTTATCATATGTGTTAAGTGGGAGAATGTAAAATTATTTATTTAATTGTGGCCCACATGATTTGGACATGTGACATATTATTTGGTGATTAAATAAAATAGATATCAGATTAATATTATATTATTTGGTCTACTTATAAATTACCTTTTTGGTAATTACTTATTGGAGAAGTGTGCTCCTTTCTTTGATGAAAAGTGGAGTTAGGTTATTAAAAGGAAAACTGGTCATCTCTCTGCCTTAATAAAAGTGCATATATTCTATCAACTATGTACAATTAATGATACAACACGTAAAAGTTTTATATGTGCAAAAGGCCAAGAGAGAGAAATCAGTTTCCATATTTTGACTATTGCAGTTTAGCACGTTATTCGTTCCGCAGAAAGGATCTCGATGTTGGACTTGATCTCTATGATATTTGTAATCACAGATCGAGGTATTCATATCTAATTATATTTATTTATGCATTATAGATATGTGAAAATAATAAAGTTCTAAAATTATGAGATTCATGTTTATTTGTGATGAATGGTTTAACACGAATTAGTTATAGTTTATACATGTTCCTTCTATAGGTAGATCATCATCATCTTCTTTTTATTATTATTATTTTTTTCATTGGGAAGAAAGATAGACATTTTACTTTGCAAGGTGAAATAGTACTATCAGTCTGCAAGGCCTTTGGTTATAAGCTATATCATCTTATTTATGTAAGCATAGTGGTATATTATGATATTTGGACATAAAAGAAAAAACTCTCCCTGAGAATCTCGCTATTAGATTATGCAGAGTTCAATTGTACCATTTAGATTCAGTGTTGAATAAGATGATATCGCGGCTGGATTTGGACAACGTGATTAAGCTTGCATAATATAACAAAGAAGATTATGAAGGAGAGGATCCTTTCCCTAAACATAAAATGCCAAAATGCAGTGGTCATGGTATTCTTTAGCACAATGCTACAACCAAATCATGCATACAATACAATTAGTTATATATTATGACATGCTAAAATGCCAAGGCTTATACACACAAACGTGGTCGAACTTATTTCGTGCATTGTGATAATGCTCTTATATACGTACAACTCATCGATCTTCATGGAAGTGTATCACAAACCTGGAAGTATTTATCATTTCCTATGATACTAATTATGGAAAATAGAATGTACTAAAATGTTGCTCATTGTTATTCTTTGCTTTTCATTTTCAATTATTGTACAATAATCAGTGAAAATTCTGTTTTCGCTTTCTACATACTAAAACTGATCTGTACGAAAACTGATTGACGTGTCAAATTGCTAGTGTGTCAACAAATTCACACCCAATTTCTGGGAAAAAAATTAAAAATTCCGAAAAAAACAAATTCATCTTAATTTACCCAACATATCCATTCCACCTCTAACTTCTTTATTCCTCTTTAACAAGTTCAGTCGAGCAGTTTGTTTTAGCGACAAAAATAGCATAGGGAGTTTTTCTTGTTTCTTGGTTTTGGTTCCAAACTTCCAATCTTATGCAAGAATACCATATTCTTTTTTCTGGTTGGTTTACCGAAAAAAAAAAAAGAAAAAAGAATAGCATATTATCATGTATGTGTGTGCGTGTATATATATATTCCCACAGTCTCTAGTCATTCTCAATCAAAAACATATTTCTTGTAAAGCCAATTTCAGTAGTACTACTACAATCACTGTAAGCATTTTTGGAAGCCCTTGTTGCAAGTTCACAATATATATATATATATATATATATATATATATATAGAATTTTTCTTTTCAGGAAGGTAAATGATATTATATAAATATTTGTAAACGAACAGAAGCCAAAATGATGGCAGAGGCCCAGTTATGGCCTAAAGTTTACTGTTCTCTTCTCATATTCTTTTTTTGCTTTTTATTGATTTCATTAAATAAAAATAAATAAATAAAGAAGATCAACACCTAATTGTATATAAATTGCAATCATTATCAGGACATTAATCATTCAGTTTCTTATTTACCCCGAGGAACAACTTTTTAATTTTAGCATAAAATTTTATTAATTTTCAAAAAGAATTGAAGTCTCATGTGAGTAGGAAAGTTGAAAAGACAAGAACTTGATTTGTAGTAAACTCTGATATGAACTAAGATATGATTACCAACGGGCAGTGGTCTATCTGCTTCTTACTTTCCAAAAAGAAGTCAGGGACTCAAGTCTCAGAAGAAACATGTGTGTGTGAGTACCAACTAGGTAAAAAAAAAATATATATATATATATATATATACATATATAAGACTAAATGGCAAGAGAAATCTTAAATGCTTGATGGTTCATGTATTTTAATTTTATGCTCTTACAGTTGATTATTTAGAATTACTAATTATAACTTCTTCTTTTTTCTTCTTTTTTTTGTATTTTAGGTCTATATTTTGCCATTGTGTTTGGCCATTTCTAGTACTTTCTCATACATCATGGTGAGAACTTGTTTTCTTTTTCAATTTAAATAATTAGCCACTTTTTTTTTTTTTTTTTGAATTAATTAGCTACTTAATTTCTTATGCATTGGTAACTCAGGTTTCAAAACAATTTATACTTTTTGGATTTATCAAGGGTCACATCCATAAATAAATATATATATATATATATATATATATATATATATATATATAAGTGTTTTGCAAATCTATATGATACAGATAAACTTGAAAATTAAGCATTAAACTAATTAACCTTTTTCTATTTCTCTTGTTTTGCAGGATATCTTTGCTTTTATATTTGTTCTCGGCATAGTTTCCTTGGTGATTTCTTCCGCAAATGCCAATGGAAATGCCAGCACCTTTAATGTCTTAAACTATGGAGCTATTGGGGATGGCAAAAAAGAAGATTCTCCAGTAATAATTATTTAAATTCCTTTTGCATTTTAGTTCATATATTTTTTCAACATAAGAAAACTAAATTATTTATACTCCGTTTTAGGCATTTCTCGAGGCATGGAATGCTGCATGTAGCACGGTAAAAGGAACTCCTAAAGTGATCGTTCCTGAAAAGAGAACATTTTTGTTAAATCCAGTCGTGTTTAGTGGTCCATGCAAGGCCAAGAAAATCGATTTTATGGTAAGGAAAAAATTAAAAAAATTATAATCATATGACATAATAAAAGAACCAAGCATCAACATCAAATAAGTATGTTTTCCTTTCCCAAATATATATAGATTTCCAGGAAAATTGTGGCGCCATCCTCGCCTAATGCGTGGAAGGGGCGTGATGCGAGTCAATGGCTAGCATTCAGTGGCGTAAGTGGCCTCAATGTCTATGGTTCGGGCACGATTGATGGACAGGGCAAAGGTTGGTGGGATCAATCTTGCAGATATCATCCTGAACTGGTACGTAGATTTTGATAAATATGATAACGAACTACCTCATAATTCAATTATAAATGCTTCTACTTTGGCATTCCTGACTTTATTTTCACTTGCTCCAATTTTGCAGCAAGGATGCACTAAACTGGCACCAACTGTAAGTATATATATATATATACATTGCTTCACAATCTACAATTTTTAACGTTTTGATATTTGGAGATAGGAATTCATCTGCCATCTATATGGTGTCTCTACATGCAATGGTAGTCATCATAAATTACAACTGATGCCATGAGACTCTCTCTCTGCAGTCTTCTTTTTATTTTTTATTCTTTTTATATTATTATTGATGAAATTATTCTCATTTTACACAGGCCTTAAAGTTTCTTTCAGGCAATGACATCAGTCTCAGCAATGCTGATTTTACTAACAGCCCACAAACCCATGTACTCATAATGGGGTGTAGTAGGATGAGCGTTCAAAACGTAATAATCAAATCTCTTTCCATTACTTTTTTTTCCTACTGCTCTTCACAATATAAGTGTCATCAAGTCCAAAATAGGCAGTGGTAAACTTAAATCCATAAATAATCTCTTTCCATTACTTTTTTTTCCTACTGCTCTTCCCATTTTTTTTTTTTTGACCTTTAAGTCCCCATCAATTGTTCATATATATGATCCAAATTGACTGATTATTTGGTTTTGTATCAACAGGTGATGATTGTATTTCTATTGGAGATTACATTTCTAACCTATACATAACCAATATTGAATGTGGCCCTGGTCATGGAGTGAGGTATATATATATGTTAATTCCCTTTCTTTTCCAGAACTACTTAATTTATATTTGAACATGCATTAATAAATATATATATGTTAATTCCCTTTCTTTTCCAGAGCTACTTAATTTATATTTGAACATGCATTAATAATTATTGGTGTTAACATAATTAGATTATATTATATGCTACCATAATTACATTATATTATAGCCGTTGTAATAGTGATTTACTAGCAGTTAATCATTATATCAATTCTATATACATCAATTCAATATATTCTTTCATATTATATTTCTATCTATCCGTGTCTTCCTATATATCTCTAATAATCAACAATTGGTATATCAAAATATCACATGGGATATATGTTGAGATGGATTGATATATAGAAAGAGAATGTATGATAATAGCAGATGTGTGTGTTGATGCTTGAGGTAATTCAACTACAGTAGGCAATTTTAAATAGCATTAACTAAGTATGATTTACTTTGGCATATAGAGTGCTATATATATACATATATATATGTGTTCATTCAAGTGAAGCAATGTTTCCATTATTGCATGTAAACAGCATTGGAAGCTTAGGTTTGGGAGGCAATTTTGTACAGGTAGAGAACATTCATGTGAGCAATCTCTCCTTGAACGGAACTACCAACGGAGCTCGGATCAAGACATATCAGGTCTATGTATATATATATATATATGAAATAATAACAACCATATATATAACCCAATTTACTTCACCATCATCCAGACTCACACACTTTTATTTTCACCAGCTATATATATATATATATATAGTATAAATACTCTTATAGTTGATTATATTTTGCTCTTGATTTTATATCACTTTTGTACTCACTGTCTATGCATAAATAGGTTGGAAAAGGATACGTTCGAAATGTCACATTTGAGGACAATAAATTTGATTCCGTTGATAACCCAATAATCATCGATCAGAATTATTGCGGAGTCAGGGGTACATGCAAAGAATTGGTAATATCCTATAAAAGAACATTAGAAAGATAAAATGATCGACTCAAATCATCAATTTCCATTTGTCTATGTTTCATTTCATTCAACAAAAAGTACTGATCATCCAATTTTCTTACATTCTTTGTTGAAGCCAACCGGAGTTCACATAAGCGACGTGACCTACAAGGGCTTATATGGAACATCGAGCACCGAAGTAGCTATCAATCTCAACTGCAGTCGATGGGTGGAGTGCACCGGAATATCGTTGCAGTCCATAAAACTTACCTCTGCCAAAGATGGAAAGCAAGCCACTGCTAATTGTGTTAATGCCCATGGCAAAGAAACAAGAGTGCTACCGGGCCCTTGTATCGGAAACTGAATATATATATGAAATTATGAACATGTTTCTAACTTTCTGCAACTTAAATTTTAATACAATGAAGTGGAATGAGGCAAAGGGATAAGAAATATAGTTTATTTGTTGGGTTTTAAAATAAAACATATATATAGACAAGAGGCCCTGCTATTTTCTGGGTGTTGCGAGATTTTGTTCCTAAGCCTATTGTGCAAGGAATTGTTTTAATTATGTACCAATTAAATATCTTTCCGTTCATATGTGAATTTTTTATATATTTCCGTTTTCATTGTAGACATCCATTAATTATTTTAATTATGTACCATTTAAACATCTTTCCATTCATATTTGAATTTACCCAAGTGCCCCTTCACTAAGTCAGATAAAGTTCAGAAGTTGGTATACTTAAAGGATTATGGACGTGATCCTATCAAATTATTTGCATTCAAGGAGAGTCAAATGTTAGATTCATACTTTATGAGACACCAGGTTCAACTAATCTTAAATTTGATGTAGCAATAACTAAGGGTCCGTTTGATTAGACGGAAATTTATGATGGAAAGTGAAAGTGAAGTGAAAGAAAGGAAAATCAAGTTTCCTGTATTTGGTTAGCCAGAAAAAATTTCAAGAAAGTTAGAGAAAATATTATTTTATTAGTTTGAATAGCATGAAAGGGAAAAGAAAATGATTTATTTACCAAAACTACCCTCATGATTTAAAATATTAAAAAAAAAAAATTAATCTTGTGTTGGATGAATCATCTTTATACCCAATTATTTATATTATTTTTAGCAATTAAATAGTAAAATAATGGATTAATAATTATTATTATTATTATTTATATTCATATTTAAATTAGACAAAGTAAGGAGGACCACATTTTATTTGTCAGATTCTTTTTATTTTCAGTTTTCAATAATAATTATTTATATTTATATGTAGAATATAATTCACTTATCATAACATAATGGATTATTATTATTATTATTATTATTATTCATATTTAAATTAGAAAAACTAAGGAGGACTGCATTTTAGTTGCCAGATTTTTTTATTTTGTGTTTTCAATAGTAATTATTTATATTTATATGTAGAATATAGTTCATTAATGATAACATACTCATATTTTATTGAATTATTAAATATATCTTTTTTTAAGCCCCCTCAAAGAAACATTAAATGGTAACTCTAGGATAAAAATTGTCATGCAAAAGTAACATATTTTATAATTCATGCATAATAATTTTATAGTTCTTGCATAATTTGTCAGTCTCCTTTCATATTTTTTATGAATATGAACCACTTCTATGCAAATTTTTCTGTGCAAAAATCACACAGTATAAAACATTATTCAGTTCAAAGCTGTATAGATAGTAAAAAATAAATATTATATTGATTTCCATCCATGTAAAATTGTTATGTCATATAAATAATATGATGACTCAAATTAATCTCTTCTCATATTTCTATTGAGATATTGATAAAAATTAAAAGTTACACTACGTATTATTTAATATTCTACCCTTCAACTATAATGACCCGGTCATTTTCCTTTGTTTCATTTTTCAAAAATTTCTTTTTTCGTCTTTTTTCCTATTTCGTCCTTTAGTCGTTTTTCATTTTTCCTTCCATAACCTCACTTTTTGTACTCGGATTTGATTCCGGCTTTGCATACATCCATAATATTTAATTTCCATGATATCTACATTTCTACTTTCTTGAAAAAGCATGTTAAATGTTTACTTTTCTTGTAAAATGTATGAATGCATAACTTTTGGTAATTATTCTAAACTTGAGAGGTTTTTGTGTAATTAAATAAAGTAATTATTTTTCCTCTTAGGGATCATTTTACAATTTAATTTGAAAGATATTTTTCAAAAAGGACCTTTTTGTAATTTTTAAAAAATGTGACAAGTGTCACATTCCTAAGGTGCCACTTGTTAATTTTGTGGTGGAACCACTTGGAGGCTTAATCTCATGACACATGGAAGGTGAAGATTTACCCATTTGTTGGCCTAGGATAGGAGCACTTGTTGGCATAGATGGTTGACAAGTGTAGGTTTGATATTTAATCTTGGAAGTTTACTTAGATTCATGACAAGTGTAGGCTTCACAATTGGTCTTGCATTAGTGTGTGTATGAGAGGTAGTGCAAGAGCACCTAATGAGTGGAGAATCCCACCATTTTAACTTAGGGTTTTCACTTTTAATTCATTTATCTCTTCCCTTTCAAGAACCCTAACTTAGCCACCACTGGAGCAAAACTTGACTTAGAGTTTTGACTTCAATTTTGATACCCCTTTACTCACCTTAGACCATTAAGTTTGGAATACAAAAGTTTTGCCTCACTCTCCTCTTCATAACACTAGAAGGAAAACTTGAAATTCCTTTACTTCCCTTGAATTCAAGAGGGACAATCATCATGTGAGGTAGGGGGTGTTATAATTTATTTTCCAAGTGATTTAATTGTTCTTATAGTGATATACAAGTTGTATGCATGTCCTATGTTAATTTAAGAAATAAATGACTAATGGTAGCTTGCATATAATTCACTTTAGACTTGATATATGGCATGGCCATGATTTGATCTTTGTTGTATATTGATTTAGCATGATTTAAATGAGTTTTTTTTTAAAAAAAAAAAAAAAAAAATTGATTAATTTAAATTGATTTAAATTCTACTTAATTGTACCATGCTTAAATTCCATTTTTAACTTGATATATGACACGTCCATGAGTTACTCTTTGTCATATATTTAATTGGAATCATTTGGACTACTCTTGAAATCTAGAGAAATTACTTAATTAGTTTAATTAATTTCTATCTCATTATTCTAATAATTTAATCATTTAATTCATCGAACCTATTGTGTTTTATCACATGTCATGACTTGTTGCTCAACGTGTTAATTTTGGAAACTTGGGATATTATCAAAAACATGACTTGGCTAGGACTTGGTTCTAGTACGGGAGATAGAGAACTCCTTACACTATAGTGCTCACTAGGAGAAGGTACTCATGTGTTAATAGCCCTAAAGTGATTCCAAGAATACGGTTTTAATCCGGGCAATATCCAAGTATCCACTTTGGTTTGATTTCGCATTTAAATTCTAAGTTGTTAACTTTCTGAATTTGTATCTCATTATGCTATGTTGAAAGTTTTAATATAACTTTAATCGCATGAATTGAATTATATTAAATTGCAAACTTTGTAATAAGTTAAACTTATGCATGTTCAATCCCTACGAGTAAACTTGTTTACTCACCCCGAAGTTACCGGGTGTTTTTCAGGTAAAGAAGCAATATTGTGGGATGCACAACAATCTTAAACTTGTTAAACTACTTGGAGTATTTTTGTTATAGTAGAATATGCACTTGTTAGCATATCTTGTTTCATCTTTGCTTATTAGGACAAAATATGTATTCATTATTCAAACAATGTAACGTGCACTTAAGTGCACCTTTTGATACTCTTTGGATGTGTGTGTAATAAGGCCAAGGGCTAAACATGTTTAATTTAGTACTTGCAGTCATTTGGTACCATCTTTTACTTTAAGAATGTGTTTTAACAAACTTTGGAGATTCAGCATGTGAGATTCTTATAAATTATGTGTATGAGGGCATAAGCCATTGTTTTACATTCAATTATGCATATTAAAGTTGTTGACATGTTCACACTCAAAACTCATTGAAAATCAGTTTTAAACTCTCATTTTTGAACCAATCCATGAGGGAAATTGAAAAATGGGTTGAACCTTCACATATTTGGCATATAGCAGGTCCTTTAGCAGCTTTTTGAGGTGTTTCGGTCGACCGAAACACCAAATCGATCGACCGATGGCTTTTGGGAATTCTTTTGTACAGTAAATCATCCATTCCAGTAGCCTTTTTCACTGTTCAGAGTCATTTCGGTCGACCGAAACTCAATTTCGGTTTACCGAAACTCAATTTCGGTCTACCGAAACTCCCTCCTCTCAAAAATACATGTTTTCAGCCAGTTTGTGTCCAGTTCGGTCGACTGAAACTCCAGTTTAGTCGACCGAAACTCCCCTCATACACATATCTTCCATATTAGATTTCAGCACTGAAGTTCCAACTTCAAACGGTCATATCTCCTTCATTTCTAACCCAAATGAGGTGATTCTTGAGCCTAAACTCAAGGATTTTGAATCAGATTTCCAATGGTACCTATGCCATTCTCAGATTCAAATCACAGTGAGAGTTATTCATATTTTAGTGAGACAGGGTCAGTTTTTGCTTAAACAGGGAAAGAGCGTTTTTGGGGAATTCTTGGCCAAAGTTCTTAGAACCTCTTGGAATATTGTGAAATGATTAGATTAGCTTGTATTCACCTTGTTTGACTTATTTAGAGTCAATTTTCTCCATTTAATTGTGAATTAACCATTTAACCCTTAATTGACGGATTTAGCCCGTTTTGACTCTCATTTCCTCTTTTGCTCACTATAACTTCCGTAACTTCATGGAAGGTCACATTAGTGCCTTAGGGATGACTTCTATCTCTAGAACTTTAGTTTATCATTCGCTTCGGCATTTAGGATCCGTTTCTGGGTCGACTTTCGGGACATCACTGACACACCGATTGAATAAAACTCGGGTCACGATATCAACTCTTAATTTATTTCCAAAAATTTTAGGTAACGATGTATTGGATATAATCAAATTATGTGTCCCAATATATAATAATTGTTGGAATATTTTCTAAGTCTAAATTTAATAACCACTATATTTGTTATGTGAAAAAAAAAAAAAAAAAAAAAAATGGAGAAACAACTGGGCATAATAGGAATTTTGGAAATAAAATGACAGTTTTGTGCGAAAAAGTTAACTCTCTTGTGTTTTATGTAGGAAAATATTTTGGGAAAATTTATCGATGCGGGAATCTCACTTTCCCAAAAATTTTCCCTTTCTAGGTAATCAAACTCCTTGAAATTAAATTTCTTTTCCGTTTCTTTTCCTTTCTACCTACTTCACGCTAACCAAACGAACTCTAAAGGAAAATGATATTCACGTCGACGGATTTGGCCAATTTGTTAGGCAGAATCCTAGGTGGAGTCTAACTGGCACATAAAATAAATAAAAAATTACACCGTAAAAAAAAAGGCGTGCAATCCATCTTCCCGTCTCTCCTGTGTTTCAAGAGCCGGTTTTCCACAGCATTGGTCTGACCCAACAAAGGCTGACAATGTGCAACAACCAACAAGGTATGGCATCGCGGCAGCGGAGCAACGGTGATGATCTGCAAGGGGTTAACAGCACCGGAGATACATTGCTGAAGAAGAAGTGCGTGGGCACGTTCTGCGCGAGTTAGATATACTCGCAGGAGATCCGGCGAGAAGCGAAGATGATTGCAAATAATAAGGTCTGAAAGGCGAAGATGAAACACGCGCTTAGCCGTAATGAGCACGAATGATTTTGCCATTTGGCCGGTGGGATGAACGTTCCGGTTCTGACGAAGTGTTCCAGCGGGTGGCTGGATGAAAAGACTAACGACGATCATTTGAAATTTCCGGCTGAAGCAGGAATGAATTGGCACATGGCGGTGAGATGATTGGGCCGCTTCGGCCAACAGCTATTGATAAAGATTGAAGAGGATGACGGCGAGATGTTTGAAGAAGACCGGTGGGTCGTTGAAGCCCTCTGCCGATGATAACAGTTAAGCCGATGAAGCAAAGGGACGTGATGAGGACGACAATGGGCCAAATGCAATTATTGTGATGATGTCCACGCACCAAGCCAAATATAATTAACTTTTGCCACCGCCGCCGCCACATCATTTCTATCTAGCAAATAGGTTAGAGGTTGAGTATCATAACCCATAACTAAAAGGGTTAATTTTACTTAAACCCCTCAGGTTTGACCAAATATCACATTCAAATATCTTTTTAAATTATTTATCACTCAGACCTTAATTTTCTTTTCCGTTAAAAAGTTACAAAATGATAATTTTATCCCTATTTTTTAAATCTATTTTAATCCAAAATATCAAAAGCCTAAAATAATCAAATTACTCTCATTTATTACTATATCACCCCCAAAATACTTCATCTCACTCTTTTCTCCAGAATTTTTGTTTTTTTTGGTGTACATCATGATGATGATGATGATGATGATGATGATATATATATATATGTAAAGAATAATTTTAAAAAATAATTATAAATTTATAATAATAATTTGTTTGGTTTTAAAAAATAATTACAAATTTATAATTATAATTTGGTTGGTTTTCAAAAATAATTTTAAATTTATAATTATAAATTTGGTTTTAAAAAATAATTATAAATTTATAATTATAATTTGTTTGGTGTAAATAATGAGAAATATATATATATATATATATATATATATATATATATATATAAACAATAATTTTAAGTTTATATAATGAAGGTCAACAAGTATTCAAGTCATTTTAACCATTTTTTTAAGCCAACAGATAGTTAGAAGGGTAGTAATAACATTTATATGCAAAAAGTATCGACACACCTGAAAAATAACTTTTTGGGTGTAAGTAAAAAACGGACTAAACATTTGTATTTCGAAAGATGATTCAATATAATATTTTGTCAAACTTGAGAGGTGTCATCCTAACTAAAAATACATTAATGTCCTCCATTTAAATACATATTACACTTTATTCTTTTATGCTCAAACATCAATCTACTCAACTCCTTTGTTTATAGGGGTTCGTTTTGAGCTTGTGAACACATATATAAATACATGGTAATATATAATTTCATATTTTTATACTATAATTGGTATTTTAACCATGGGAATTTATTTAAAGCCCAAACCCAACAATCTAAACCAACCCATTTATTCTATTTTTTGTCTTTTGAAAAAAAAACACTAGCCTGACAACCAAACCCATCCCAACTTGATATCCTTTTCTCTTTTGAAAGAAAACTAACCCTAGTCCATTCATTGATTTCCTAGCCCATTTCCTAACCCTAAACAACTATTCATTCTGTCGCAAACCAAACCCCCAAACCCCTCAACTTGGCGAAAATAGTTACTCAAGTGAACGACGACAGCCGTGCCGCTGCAAATTAAGTTAGGGCAAGTTTCAGACGACACAATCTGCTTCGACACTCCGCAGGGCGCAGCCTGCGCTATCGCCTCAGGTGACAAGGTATGTTCATCCTCTCTCTCGTTTCTCTCCTTTTTTATGAATCGATCTTTTATATATGTTTTTTTCTTTCGTTCATCTCATCATTTGATTTGTTCTAACTTTGGTTCGTTTGATTCGGGCCTTTACCTTTGTTCCAATAGTGAAAAGTAGCTAGAGTTTTTTGTGTGTGTCACTGTGTGTGATGGCTATCAAAAAATATATTATGGTTCTCTTAGTATTTTAATAAATGTGTGCCTTTCTACATGTGCCTTTCATGGCAGATCGAGTCCATAATCTATGGCAGGTACTTTTTCTTTTTTTTTGTCCTCTCCCTAATTCCACTCCAATCTCATAACAGCAGCAACCATACCCCTTTTCCTCATAATTTTTTTTGCATTTTCACATTCAATCCTATGAAAATGAAGGATCCCTTCTAGTGGGTTGAACCGTTGAGGTAATAATTAACTTTTTTGATCTCTAAATTATGCTCATACTTGAAAGTGCCAAATTAAGGGTTTTTTTTATATTTTATTTTTATATGAAGTTACATACCACCATTATTGATGTTATGTGAAGTTGGCTAAAGCTAGAATTTCAGTTAATAATACTGTCAAAGCACTTGCCATCAGAATGTACAAACACATGGAAATCAAGAGCAGGCTTTAACAAAACAAAAGTTAATGGTTTTTCTATTAATTTGCACAGGTCTTCTGTAGCAATGATCAATCAATCACTGCTACTAAAGTTGATTCCTCATCCTGAAATCAAGAAAGGGGTAATTGGCTCCCCCAAAAAAAACACACACAAAGTGTAGTGCAGTTAATATAAAGAGTGAAAGACAAAACTATATATGATAGTGGATGCCACGTATAACCTAAAAGTCCCACTACTTCTTCAGTACTACAAGTTCAGCCTCCTATATATAATATAGGCAATATAGTCACCTCATCAAATTTTAGTAGCTATATAAACAATGAACGTAAAATAAGCTGCAGTTTTCTGTTCTCTAGTAAACTGTTCTCTTCATTTTTTATTTTGTGCCTGTGAAAATTTCGCACTCTTTAATTGATAAATTTATTATTATTAGTTAGCTGTCTTTGTACACTGCACATGCGAACAATTATTTATTCGTGATGATAGATTTATAGTTATTAGTTAGTTGTCTTATGCAAACTGCACAGGCACACAATTATTTATTGGTGGTGATAAAAATTTATAGTTATTAGTTAGTTATCTTAAGCACACTGTACATACGCATAATTATTTATTAGTGGTGATAGATTTATACTTATTAGTTAGTTGTCTTATGCACACTGTACAGGCGCATAATTATTTGTTGGTGGTGATAAATTTATAGTTATTAGCTAGTTGTCTTATGCACAATGCACAGACGCACAATTATATTAGCTATAGAATTTGAAAACATCGTGTTAAAATTTCGCACTCTTATAATTTTTTTTACGCATTTGAAACTTAAGGACCTCACATTTGAAAGTTCGCCTAGGGCCTTTCAAAATATTTTGAATCTTAGGGCCGGCCCTGGTTGTTAGAGTTTAGATTAGTATATGCAGAGAGCGCACACTGGGTATCGCTAGGTTATCGAGCCATCTGCGTACACTTCTTTAATATAGGAATACTTATCTTAAAATTTGAATATAAAATAATATGAAATATAAAACATATTAGGAGTAATTAAGAAAATAACATGAAATTTAAGAAAATGAAAATAATAAAAATTTAGCTCAAATTTTTTTTAACTACATCTACTGTTTCTCCTGTTTCAAACTTTTCTCCCAGGACACTAGTTTCATTTGGAGGTAATATAAAACAATTTACGCTCATCTCTTTAGAAATTTGCAATCAGCTACACTTACAATAAAAAAATAAAAAATAAAAAGAAAACAAGAATTGCAATCAACCATTATGATTCTCCACTTAATATTAAGTATCATTAAATTTATTTTTATTCTAGAAGCGGGGTTCAAATTTCTGACCCTTCTGCCTAAGCCCAGCCTAGGCTGCAACGGGTATGTTTAAATGCTTCAGCCCATATCGAACCCTAATAAAAATTGGAATTATCAAACCCCTACACTAAACTGGGTTGGGCTTTGTATGAGTTGGGTTTAGCCCGACCTATTTGCAGGCCTACTCGATGATAACTGTATCTACTACCCAAATTCACCAACTCTGAGAGCATCTTCAATGCAAAATGCTATATTTTCATGCCAAATCTATATTTTAAGAGGAGTTACAGTATCAAAATGCTATATTTTTGCAATTCTGCTTCAATGGTATATTTCATCCAAAATGCTATTTTTTGACACAACAACCATTCCATATTTTGAGAGCCGTGCTTTATTTTCATTTTAACAACTTTTGACAATCTCAAAATATGAGAGGTCTTTTGAGAGCTCATTGGAGTGCCTTATTTTCATCCACTTGCTATATTTTGAGTTTGAGAAGCCATTTGAGAGCTGCTATATTTGGCAATACTTTTGAAATCTCAAAATATGAGAGGTCTTTTGAGAGGCCATTGGAGTGCATTATTTTCATCCACTTGCTATATTTTGAGTTTGAGAGGCCATTTGAGAGGGCATTGGCGATGCTCTGAACTACCGCTATCTCCTCCAATGGCCACCCCGCAAGAAGAAGCTCCTCCACCACATACTCCCTCCAGGTTTTTGCTCTCTCACTTTCTCTCTCCTCTCCATCAACCTCTTCCACTTTCTCACACTTCACTCCACCATCACCATTCAAAGCTGCAACCGCAGTAAACAATCTCTTATATATATATATATATTAACATACTTTCTTCTTTCAGAAAAAAGCTTGAACTTCATCAAGGATTTTTTATTGAACTCTTCAATATTTTTTTTTCAATTGAATCATTGACCTAGTGTGTTTGATTCCCATGCCTGCTCAGTTTGGGGCATGAATTTCAATTATTGCAATTAATCTCTTTTTGCATTTATGTTGAATTCAGTATTTAAATAAATACTCTTTTATTTTTGTATTTGAAGATATATGTTAATTGTTTTCAGATATTACAAATGTTTGATTACTACTGACTTTTTGCCTACAGGGTCATCGTCTGTAATTTATATCTTCTGACAGGCTAATATATATATTTGTTCATTGTATTGATTAGATTGTCATTTTGCATTGTGATTAGAGTAATTTTAAGTTGGCCCTATGTAGGTCATTTTGATGTTTATAACTTGAATTGATTGTGATCAATTGAAATATCTTGATTTTTTTGGTGGCTTTTGGTCATGTGTTGGCTAGGTAATTTTAGTATTTTATTAGCAATATTTTTATATTATAATGTATGCAAAATGGTCGAAATTGAAAGGTTACGATGGTTTTAGCACAATGCTAATGAAACATACCTGTAAGTGTGATATATAATGTATACAACTTGTGCATCATAAGACAACCACTCTCATCTCTTGACGGCCATGCTTAGTGATTATTTTCAACCAATTCATTTAAACTTTTATTTATTTGTTACTTTTGGTGGGTTTAGTGGAGGAATGGATGCTGTTAACGAAGTAGCCTACAGCCCCCCAGCAGGTTACCAGGAGGATGCGAAGGATCCACTTGTTGAACTTAATTTAAGTGACTCGACTGAGTTTTGGCTCATCCAATGGCCAATTAATCAAGTAAGGTTTATTTCAGTACCTATTTGACTCCATCTCTTTTACCAAAGTCTATGTTGATGGGAAACAGCAGAATGTTAAATTCCCAAGCAGTGACAGGCTGACAGCTAATCTGGACAAAATGGTGCAAGCAATTCCTTTTCCTAAATAAAAGAATTTTTTTTCAAGAAAATTATCCACTGACAAAAGTGATCCAGTTCTATTTGTTGTTTTCAAAAAGTAAACCCAGGAAAAGTCACATGAACATTATCAATTTTAGATCTTGTTTTATGGGGCAAGGTAGCTGAAAGACAAATTTATTACCTGGAAAAGACATGCCACATAATATTAATCAAGGGTGGAGGAAATAATATGGACAGAATTAGTAGCACTGCCATGACTTTGTGAATTTTGTTTGCTTTGGCATTGAGTTTATATAATTGATTGCTTGGGTATTGCAGCCTCCTGATTTTGATGGGCAAGAACTGACGCTGAAGCTTCACCGTGATGGACAGTTGGGCAGTTTCGAGGGTTCATCTGGCAAGTGTAATTTGATAACAGTATATAGGGCTAACTTTGATCTTAAGAACCACTTTCACTTGTTTGCTACAAATTCAATCTTCAAAGTGGCTTGATCCGAATATGTCTTGCCAATTTATTATATGATTTATGATGCATTATTATTTATCAAAAAATAATAATTATATGATTTTATGATGCATTAGCAAAATTTATATCTTGTGAAATACTATTCGTAATTGCAGGAAAATCCTATCACATGGTCAGTTTTGCCGCTCATGATCCAGATGCAACAGTTTTTGTATCTTCCAAATCTGAACCAAAAATTGGTATGCGTTTGCATGTGGTCAAAATTTTTTTTTGTTATTTTCCTTTCATTTTACTTTTATAATTTTGTCTTTTATTTTGTATGTATATCATAACAATGTCGGGTGTCTATCTGACTCTTTATGCAAGACAGATACCTCATCTATGATGTAACTGTATAGTTTTGTTTGTGCCATTAACAACTCACTGTTTGGCCCTCAGATTGCATTTATGAAATCAGATTGCATGTGTATGTTTACCTTAAAGCTGCAAGTGGTTCATTTGACCTGAGAACGGATTTAAGTTTAAAAAAAAAAATCCTTGGTCACTTTGTAAGTCATCAAGATTATCTAAAATACTGAAGCTAAAAAAATTAGATAAAATAGTGTTGATCATATTGTATAATTCATTAATCTCTATTTTGTTGTTGCCATAAAGGTATATAATTATGTTTATTTTCTAAAAAAATTTATTGTTTCCTGACCAGCATGTTCACAAAGTGTTCATATAATGTTTTGTAAGATTTGTTATCTTAGCGTTTTCATATTATTTGAATTGATCTTCATGCATGGTCAGATGTATGTAGAGCAGCATTCTGGATAGAATCTAGGTCCAATGAAGAAACATCATGCCAGAAACTAATGGAATCTAGTTTAAACGACAAATAGATGTAATTTTTGGATTACTGAACCGTTAAGTAAGGTCCTGATATGTCAGATGTGTGCGGTTAATTAGATCTAAATAAGGGTGAATACAAGTCTTATAGATATTATTTTTTCCCTAAAGAGTCTTATGGATATTAGTTTGAAACTTACTTTTTGAATTACCGTTAATCCTTATTTTAAATTCAGTTGATTAGTTTACCTGTGTCTCAATAGCAATCACATAAACACTTAAATTAATAAATAAAATAAAGCAGAACATAATATTTTTTATGTGAAAAATCCTAGAAAAGGAAAAATCACGGGACCTAGTTCAGACAGCTCAACATTCACTGTATGAGATGTTACAACTAAGTTACCTGATTCCATCCTAGAATCACCTATTCCCTCCCAACTCAGACTTTTCCAGATCTTGCCTGCCATTCATTTCGACAAACTTGCACCTCGTGCAATTTGCTTCTCAATGGACTTCTGATGTTCAGTGACTAGTGACGGTTGATCAACTTGATTTCTACAAACAACCCAGTTGATGCTCTGTCTGAAAGTTTAAGTTCATCTCCCTGCTTTGAGTCTCTTAATCACATATAATATGATAAGCTATGAAGTATCCTAGATTGATTCTCAAAGCTCTCTGTCTGAATTTGCTTCTCTATGGACTTTTGTTGTCCAGTGATTAGTGACGTTTGATCAACTTGATTTTTCCGAACCACCCAGTTGATACTCTCTGAAAGTTTAAGTTCAGCTCCTGCTTGGAGTCTCTTAATCACATATAGTATGATAACCTATTAAGTATCCTAGATTGATTCTCAAAGCTCTCTCTATAACAATATAAATTCTCTCAACAATGTGTAAATAGTTAAAAGCTTCTGGGAGAGATATCCTAGACTGACTATAAACGCATAGTCGATATCAAAGACCTATGTATGTAGTTTGGCAATGAAAATTCTTTTAGAATTCTGATTTGAAAGAGTTTCTGAAAACAGGTTTTCTCAGAGTTCGATCTATCGACTCTTCGATTAAGCACTATTGTCACTGCTTCAATCGATTGAGTCTTCGTTCAAAGCTATTTGTTTTAACAAAAAAAATTCCTGCAAAATCTCAATCAACCGAATACTTGATCAGTACTCCTTGTTTTATAAAAATCCTCAATTTCAAAAACCATTCGATTAAAACTCTCAGTTTTCATTAGCAAGAATAAAGCATATATATATATATATATATTTATATTTGGTTAAGTGAGATTAAAGCATAATTTTGAGACTTTTAAAGATCATCCCAGGCCATAATTAGTGTCTTACTCTCAACTTAACTTAAACTAGATATGTTCTTCTTTTTTTTTTTTTTGGATAAGTAAAGATGTATTAGAAAGAGTTCAAAAGGGGAACGCATCCCGAAGACTACACAAAGGCCAAAGCCAAAAGGGATCCTATGGGCCCAAGGAACTCAAAAAATCAACAATCTCCTCTATGGATTTACAATTTCTCCCCATTACCCAACTAAAAAGAGAGCTAATAATAAGAAATTTCAAAGCCCCAATGGAATATTCCTTATTATCAAAGGATCTTCTATTCCTCTCCTTCCAAATGCACCACCAAACGCAAAGGGGTGCCACCCTCCAAAAATCACAGGCATGGGCTTCCATGAAACATCCTCTCCAAGTGTCAATCAAACCTCTCTTGAATCTTTTTGTAGTCCAGGTGAGATGGGAATGTAGATCACAAGAGTTGAAATCTAAACCTTATGACAGCTTCGTCTTCTCTAATTGAAGCATAGTGGAATGACATTCATAAGTGATTACTTCATGCTATGTGGGCTTTAATTTTAATTTTATTTTGCAATAAATCTTAGGTCAAATTTATTGAAAATCACAGTTCAATAACATTATTCTAATAGTGGATAAATTATTTTAGGAGTGTTCAAAGACAGTAATTACAATAGTCCAGTTACATATAAAGTTGGGTTTTTGTGGATGTGTTAAATGCTGTAATTCTTCTCCTTTGTAGACATGATAAATATGATTGGTTACTGTGAGTTACCTTATGTGACATTAATGGGTATGAGATGAGCCATGCTAGGAGTGTGTGTTGTTGTAGTAAGCTATATTACATGGACTCTTCAAATTAGTTGAAGTACCTGTGTCGGACACACTATTCTCGGGCATGGGTATGAGATATGTGGCCAGCACTTCTGGTTAGACATGCACCTAAAAAGCATATCCTATGATTCAATTTTATTATATTATTGATTCAAAACGAGTTAAATGCCAATATCAAACACAATTTAACAAATTATTTTACTCTATAAAATTAAATAAAAATAATAGATAATATGAATATTTAGCAATGTCCCTGTGTCCTCTGTTGGGGGGATTTGATATGTCTGGCCGTTGGATACATACCCGCACCCGACACACGTACCTGAGTGCAGGTAACATATGCAGAAAGGGAGGGAGGGTTCAGTTCTTAGTTCTGCTGGAATTGACTGATGCAGCATTGATGCTATAGTGCTATAACATGAAAGGAATTGGAGTATTCTGGGCCATGAAAATTAGACAATCACTTGAGCCTATTATCACTATTACTTTAGAGTGTAGATGGTAGTATTATGTGACATATATTTTGAATGTATTTTTATGCCCTTGATTATACTTTTTTTTCATCTTATTAACAGCTGGGAAGATTTCACGGCGTGTCTCCCTCGTCCATTACCCAGATCCTAATGAACTTCAAAAACATGACACAAAGAATCTGAAACAGATGTACCAGAGATCTTCTGGAACTTCCTTGACCAATTCACCCCGTCATTTTGCAACTCCTTCTCAAGGTTTCAGGCCACGAAAATCAAAAGCAGCAACTAGCAGTGCAGTCTCTACGAAAATCACAAACAGCAATGGTAGCAGACAAAGAAGTTCTGTATCTGAGGTAGAGGAACCATCAGACCCTCCAAAGAAAATACGCACAGTTCGACCTACCAGCTCCACGGACCACTCTACTCAAGACTCAGGACGAGTTCATAGTGTGGTTACCTCTTCTGGTTCCTTGGAGCATTCTAATGAAAGGAAATCAAAGAAGAGAAGGAAAAATGTGGAGTAAGGTATCCTATACTCCGAAATTCATCACTTCTTAAGCATCAACTAAATTATGTTCATTTTGAGGGCGATAGGAAGCATTGGTCTTTCACCATTGTAATACCTGTGGTTCTGGCTTCATGATTGAAAACTTTAGCAAGCAATCAGCGTGTTTTTAATGTGTTGCTGCTTTTCACAAATTCTTGATTTTTCTGCACGGACCTTTTACGCGCATTCTCATTTATTTCCTTGTTTTGAAATTATTTGCAAAAACATGAAGTGCAGCCGCTAAGATGTATCTATGTTTTATATTGAATGGGATCATTTGCCAGTCTGGGGACATTAAAATGAAATAGGGTCAAGACTTTGTTTGAGTTCAGTTTGAAGCTAGTTTACATGAGAGTGACAAAATGATTATATTTGGAAGAGAAAAATAAGAGGATACTTAATCTCTTGCGTTTGATAGCATTGCTTCTTGTTCTTCCATAATAAGCCTTCAATGTCTTATCATCATCATAACCTGTAATCCCCACTTACTTTGGTAATTAATTGATTATCACCACAACTATGCCACAGCTATATATCACTACTTGTTCATTGATATTTTTTTTTTTTTTAGGTAAACAAATCACACACAATTTTGCCACCCCTGGCCTCTCCTTAGGGGAGGGAAGGTCACACCACTTTGGACTGGATGTTTTTCCTTGATATTCTGATAATTGTCATATTTGAATAAGAATGATGGATTTGTGTAACAGGTGTGCCACTTGCCCAATGCTTGGTGTGACACTGGGTAAGGGATTACATCGGCTTTGATACAATTGTAACGGATAGGTGTATGCAAATTTTAGGGGTGCAACTTGGGCACCCCAGGTTGGCCAACTGCAGTTCAGCCTGATTTTTCATGAGTTTGGAAAACTAGTTCTATGATTAGGGTTAGACTTGGGTTGAAAAATCTCAACCCGTATTTATTATATACATGTATTTTAACTTGTGATTGTACTCTTCTTTTCAACCTCCTTTTGTTTAAGTAGTAATTTATTGTATATTAATACTTCGGAGAATTAATTTTTAAGAATTTGTTTGTATTTTTTAGGAAATTTACATTATTTTTTAGTATTTTTTAGATGCTTTAGAGTAAATCTAACTCCAAACTAACTTTGAGTCAAAGATATTATTTGTATTATATATGTTTTCAAGGTATAGACACGGAGGCACACATTGAGTTTTCGTGTTTCATGACTTTTAGATCTTGGCCATTCTCTGTATACACATGTATGTGTGTATGTAAAGCAAATCTTTTATATGCAAGTAAAACTGTAATTATTGTGAAAAATTAGTCCAATTTAACTGGATTAGATACCAACTCAACTAACCTGACCGTAATCACACTTAGGTTAGCTTTCCTTAAATTGACGTCAGGTTCAACCCAAGCTTGGGTGGCAATGCTCATGTCACAAATTGGGCTAGGGTTGACCCTTCAACCCGCCCAATCCACGGAGTGAGAGATTGAATCGATCATTGATCATTGGTTATTAAGGCTCCAAACTTGTATGAGAAATTGGGAATGGAGTGAGAGTGAACGATTGAATACTGTCCTACTACCATGTTGGTTTTACACGTTAGTCGATTTTAGAATCGGTAAAAGATTTCTTTAGAGTTGAGTAAAAGATGTCATCAATTCTATCATTTTCCTTTTGAAGATTGAACACATTTACGAGACTCATTTTGATAGGTCAATATAACCACACTTTGCTCACTAAGCAAGGATTAAATTAAATTCCAACTCAAACTCAAGTTTTTTTTTTTTTTAACTCAAAAGTTTTTCCTTCTAATTTTTGTACTTGGGCATTCTTTAAAAACAAAAATTATGTATTGCACCTAATAATATATTGTGTAAATACATTGCGGTTGAATTGAGTCTAAATTTGGTTAAATCTTGAAAATAGAAAAATGCTACAAATATCTATGAAAAGCGATTACAGACAACTAGGTGAGGGTCGGTTGTTTATAGAAATAAAAACTTTAGATCAGGACATTCATACAAGCGTGCTCTAATAACTTGACAACCCTACACATTTTCGTGATGGCTATCTACCCGGATGGTCACTTTTGAAACATGGAGAGTCACTGGCTAGCCGCTTAAAGCGGCCAGCCTAGCATCCAGTACGGTGGTGGTTGTGTTAGCCATTTTATTATTGTTATTATTATTTTATTTAGTAAACTCTTTCATAGGTATAGTCAGAATAGGAAGTGCAATAGTCAACTCTAACAAGGATAGAGTCGACTGTTTCGGTTCCTAGCATTTTAAATGGGACCCACTTTTGCTCGCAAACTAGCGGCTATGTGGGGCCCACCACCTGACAAGCCCCACACATGGGTTGTGTCTAGCCATTAGGGTCATACCGATGCCCGTAGTTAAAACATTTTTTTTGGTAATATATAATTGTTCGTTGTATCGGCCTGTTTCTTAACCCTTATTCAAGAATTCGATACCATTATACACTTCTATAAACCGACCGGTTCAATCAATTTACACCGATATTTACTCGAATTCGTTACACCGACCGCGATTACGAACCATGATAATACTCTAGGTCTGATGACGATGCAAGCCAACCACCCTCGAATTGTCACTACGTTGGGAACAAAGAAAGAATTGAGCAAACCAGTTAGGTTTTGACAAGGATTGAACTCTTAATAGCATCAATTAAAACCACTAATCAGCAGGTAACGGATTAGCAAGGAAATAAAAATGCTTTAGGTAGAACTTTTGTTGTGAACTCCCTTTTGGAGGTGAGTACGTGAAGGATTAGCCTGAAGGGAAGTCTTTCTCCACGGGTACACTAAAAGTCCGCTTTTTTGGAATTTCTCATTTGACCACTCACCTTCCATTTATTCGTAATTCCACCTATGTGAAAGTGAGTCAGATTTCTCATGTTTTAATAATTTAGAGTATCCTCCGCCATGCAAATGGGTGAACTTTCTAATTTTACCACGCCAAAAGTAATTTACAGAAAGTAAAAGAAAAGAGAGAGAGAGAGTGACCAAAGTAAATAGAATTATCCACTTACATAGAAGCCAACGAAAACCCATTAATTATACATTGTCATCATCTTAATATAAAGACACTCATCAACAACCTTTACAAGCAGGAAAGTAATCCCACTCACTTTATTGAGTCACCATGGCAATAACCAAAAGAAGCAACAAAGCTTACAGGCTAACAAGTTTAAGAGAGTTTGCCTTCTCTTGCAGGCTATCGAGCAGGCTGTCGAAGCTCTTCTTGAAAGAATCCACTCCCTCGAGTTCGAGCTGAGTGCCAACGTAACCCCAGTCGATCCCCAACTTCTCTAGAGCACTATAGATGCCTTCAGCTTCGGATACATTCGAGTCGATTGTCCTTGAGACAGCACCATGGTCAAGGAATGCTTGGAGAGCTTGGTCTGGCATGGTTGAAACCTATAGAAAGAAGTAACATCGGGATGAGATTAAGATCATGCAAGACATTGAAGGAAAAAACTCTCGAGTTCAAATTTTGATGTCGGTTAGAGAAATGATGATTAAAACCCCTTTTTGGGGATAAAAAGCAACTTCTACTGAGTTCGAAAGAAAAGGCAGAAAAACTAAGAGAGCTTACCGTGTCAGGTCCAATGAGAGGAGCAACGTATAGTGTATCAGCGTACGCTGGATTCTTGACGCTGGTTGATGCCCACAATAGCCTCTGCTTTTTGGCACCTTTCTTGACCAGAGCCTCCCATCTTGGACCAGAAAATTTCTTCTGGTAAAGTTGGTATGCCAGAGCTGCTTGAGCATTTGCAGCCTAAACAAGAATAGATTGTTTAGATTCACGTATCTAGGCCCACCGAGAGGAAATGATTTAAGTATAGATTTTAGTTACCTTTCCACGGAGATCAAGGGCTTCGGGTGTTCCAATCTTCTCAAGCATCTTGTCGACCAGGGTGTCTACCCGACTAACAAAGAAGGAAGCAACACTAGTAACTCTAGAGAGGTCACCTAGCCCAGAAGCCTCAAGACCGTCCAAGTAAGCATCCATGACTGCTTCATATCTAGAAAGTGAGAATATGAGCTGCACAAAAACATAAAGAAACTGACAATTAGAATGGTGTTCCGTACAGGACTTGCAATCTAATGAAAGAAAAAAATAAAATAAAAAAATTCAGGTCTTGATATGCAAGGTGAATGTTATGGGCATTTCTGAAAATTACTGAAAGCACATCAGGCTAATTCAATTATTTCTTTGCCCCACAACAAGAAAAGGAAGCATTGCTATTCAAGCGTCTAAAGTTTTCACAATCAATGCACGTTAGTTCGCATAACTCTGTTAACAAGATACTGCCCACACAACCTAATTAGCCAATCCACATGGCATATTATATATATTCATAGCACAACAACCGTTCTCTGCACATTTAACATGTTAGATCTGTAAACAGTCTCAATCCTAGAACCTCATAGTTGACTACAACAATCTGGATAAGGGGGAAAAAAAAGGACGGATAGGCTCTACTTTCTTCTATTTTACGTTCTTTTCTTTCCTTTTTCTTTTCTGGGGAAAATAGACATAGGAAGGAAGTGATGCCAGAGACTCGGCGTTAGCCAACTACAGAACACAAGCTGCACCATCTCCTCTCGGCAAACAAGACTTGAACCCAGGAATTGTGCAACGCATTTTGAAAGTCTTCTCTTTACTTTCTAGTTCCCAGGAAATATTGCCTTAACAAGTCCACTGATACTCTCACTACATTTAACAAATGCAGGATTGCCAGACCTCAGCTATAGAAGTATCTCCTCCTGTGCCTTTATCCCCCGATTTCACTCAGTTCAGTTGCAGAGAGAATTGAAAGAAACAAATAAGGAAATTTAAGTCTTAATAACTAGTTGGGGCATCGAAATTGGAATGAATGTTACAGATACGCATCTTTAAGACTTCAACTGATTAAGGAAGGTACCATACCATATATCAAAAAGGTTCAAAATTATCAAAAGGATTAACCAAATTATCAAAAGTACAAACCATAATTCAAATTCTTTGGTATATATTCTAAGCTAATTTAGAATCATAGAATCAACTTACAGTTACGTTGACGCTTATGCCAAGTGAAATAACTTCCTTGATTGAAGGGATACATGCAGCTGTAGCGGGAATCTTTATGTAGACATTGGAGCGGTCAACCACCTTATGAAGCCATTTTGCAGCCTCTACAGTCCCTTTAGTATCATCAGCAAGTCTAGGAGAAACTTCAACAGAAATATAACCATCACCTCCATCTGTCTGATCATAGATTGGCACAAAAAGTTTGCATGCATCTTGAATGTCCTTCACCACAAGTTCCCAGTATGCACTTTCAATGTCTTTTCCTGCTTGCACAAGTTCCCTGCAGAGTAAGCCATTTGAAGTAAAGTCCTGCAGCGCTAATCTGTGCTTTCATTTTTTGGTTTCTGATTAAAAGAAATCAAAAGAACGCTCGCCTAAATTCTATCTAACAAGTCCACCTAAATTAGCAACTTAGCTTGAGTTCAGATCACAAAAAACAAAACCATGCCAGTGATGTTGTAATGCTTGTTCCTTAATAATCGAATGGTATAGACCATAAGAACAAGTTATCACTTGCTGTTATATCAAATATTCCAGCTATATGAAACCAAAAAAAAAACTAACAAGAAATATTAATCATGATTCCTCCAAACAATTTTATAAAATGCATAAATAAAATAAAATATATCTGGTGAAAAAAGAAGCATAAACCACTTTCTTACGGAAAAGTGCAAAGTTCGAGTACTTGTAGAGGGACGATTGGATAGGGGCTTACATGTAGGGGAAGGCTTATTCCATTGTGAAGCCCATACCATTGGACTGGAAAGAAAAAATAATAGCACAAAATGAGACATAACACTTAACGGTTCCTTTTGAAATACTTTTTTTCTCGACAAAACATGTTTTAGACACAAGCACCATTGCAGGGAAACAAAACCAATAACCACAAGCTACATTTTTCCCCCATCATCATCTCCTATGCATTTAGAATAGGCAGGGGAATTTTTTACCCCCTTCGTTCAACTTTTCATATTTTACCCAGGCAAATGGCCTCTGCTCCACGACAGACAGCCTTTAGGCTATCATAGAGGAAACCACCATCAAACAATTTACTCTCATTATCACAAAGAACACTTAAGAATATACTAAAATAATCAAGAATACCTGAATTGCTCATTATAAGCATTTGAAGTTGATATGGCTTTCTGGAATATCTGCATCATATATATTGAACATCCAATTAAATGAAATTACAACTAATGAATGGAAACTACTAAAGAAGTGCATTAGGAACAACATTGTTTGTCCAACCATGATTACTTTTTTATTGCATTTTTTCACGCCATTTTGCTTTTTGCCAAGAAAATACATATACTACAAGTGGTGAAACAGGCTATGAAACTTAAAAACAAAATCTGTAATTACCGCTGGGTTGCTGGTTACACCTCTGACACCATTTGCAATCAATGGAAGCAGATCCGTAACAGGACGGCAGAGGTTATCATACCATGGACTCTGTCCTCCCTTCTCATAAAGATCATGTAGAACTGTCTTCTTGATTTGGCTTCCATTTCCATCAAGTTGGGAACATCTGACACTGTAAAAGAACTTGTTTAATACGAACTGTTCATAATTGACAATAAGAAATAAGGAGAAAGACAAGTAAATTCCACAAGTAACAACCTACATCAAATATAACATTGTTGACAATAATAGAAAAAAAGATAAATCCTTAGTATAAAATACAGTAACAATTATGGTTATTGTTGAAAGGCATCCTTAGTGGTGACCATGAGTAAGTTCTATCATAAGAAACTGGGAATCTCAGATGCAGTTTCAAGGCGTCAGTCTCAAATTGATCACAATAATACAAAATCAGTTAATCAAACACCATTGTTCTAACCAACTCCTTGCATTCGCCACAAGCTAAATCAGCCAGCACATCAACATTCGCCACAAGCTAAATCAGCCAGCACATCGACCAGAGATGTAGCAGGATAAGGCCTCAGATAAAAATGTTTACATTTTGACAACATTGAATTGCCAATCAAACTGAGTTTAGCATTGTTTTATCCCAGTGGTGAATAATCATTTAACAAGCCATAGGCAAGAAAAGTAATTTCAAATTAAACCATCCAAAAATTTATGCTAAAAACGCAGGCCAAGGTGGATGAACAATTTATTTATATAAGGTGGATGAACAATTTATTTATATACGGAGATCAGACATATGAAGATCAAACAATCTTGTTTCACTAATAGATTTTCACATTTCACAATCTAAAATTAAGCAACCCTTTGTAAGAAATGATCTTTGGCTCTCTCTCTACAAACAAATTAGCAATGCACATAACATTTTATGGTCACAAGGTCTCATGGACAAACAAGACCCTACTTATCAAGATCTGCATAGACAATCAAAATGGATCATTTGGTTAATCAAAAACATTTTCAACAACAAAATTCTATCTGCAACTTTGCAGAAGGTGTGCCTTCGACAGCAGCACAAACATAGTTAATCAAGACTAAATCCAGAACATTTTACACTTCAATATCATAAAAAGAGATCAAGTTCAATAATTCAAAAACTTCCACAGCAAAAAGAGACCACCCAAATTATTCATAATCTTGAGAACTCATACATCAATTAGAAACATCAAGATCAAGCAATTTGCATGCACTAACAGAATTCAATCAAAGCTATAAATTCACCCAAAATCAAACCAACTCTACCCAAACACCAAAATATATAAAAATAAAACACAAACATATATCTACACATGATTCAAATATATATATATAGAGAGACAGATACGCATATATAAGGAAAAATGTAATGAAACTTACACCAAGGAGGCATTTGAAGCATGGTTAGTGCGTATCGATAACCTAGATGATGAAACTCTCGAATCAAAAGTGGGTTTGGTGTTGAAGTTGATTAAACATTTAGGCTGAAAAGGTTTGGGGTTGAAGGAAGTCGAGGAGTAGGTAGGAGTTGGATTTGAAAGTTTAGAAATGGTAGCCATGAGAGGAAGAGATCAAGAGACAGAGATCGAGAGAGAGAGAGAGAGATCAGATCAAGGTGAAAAGGTTGACGAGGGTTTTTGATCTTTTTATTGCGATAGGAACGAGGAAGGTTTGTTAGGGTTTTATTTACCTATTATTATATGATGAAGAGAGAAGAACGGTTACCATCAGTTGACCACTCCACGGGGCAGGTGAATGGGCAAAATTGGAAGATTTGGTGGGGTTAGGTTCAGAATTCGGATGCCATGGCATTATCCTCTCTCTCTCTCTCTCAGTCACACTCTCTCTCTCCTTGTTACTTTGAGTAAATTATACTGAAATCCTTATAAAATGCCTAAATAACAAAAATTTCTCATTTTGTTTTAAAAATACTCTGTCTCTAGATTTTGAGTGTTTGGAGAATCCTACGAGTGAGTTTCTAATTTTTTTTTTTTAATGGAAAAGACTTGTCAGTAGCTCATTTCTATCGACTATAAAAATGTACAAATAATTTATAAATACAAAAACGTGAAAGTGATAAATAAGGATAATATATATATATATTTTTTTGGACCCTCACTCATTTTCTTGTTTATCACTTTCTATTTTTTAATTATAGACTATTGAAAAAAGAGTCCTACTATTTAACCAGACAAATAAAAGCATACTATTTCACCGAGTCTGGCTATTTATGTGTCAAATATAATAGGACCAATATTAAAATATAAGGTAATCAATTATTTAAAAAATTGCAGTCCCTAAAAAAGATTTCATCTTAATCTAATATCTTTGTTGGCAATTAAAATTTCAATCACCATGTACAGGAGCCCACATGTGCCGAGGGGCCGCCACATCTCCATGCTGGCCCACTAGAAAAAAAAATTTAAAAATTATTATTTTGTCAGTGTTAACATACTCCTGAACCAAATTCCTGACTCGGCCCTGACTATGTATATCAAATTGTGCATATATTAAATATATACATCACATTACATCTTGTAATAACTCTTGAAATAAAATATTGTGTCTTTGATCATTAATATGCATCAATTACTTTGATAGACATTTGTTAATTGCTGATATGATCAAAACTAATGATCTATCTAACTATAAAAACAAAAATAAGGAGAGGAATTTAAAAAAAAAAAAAATTGCAAAGTATTGAAAAATTGTAAAAAAAATTATAATTTTTGTTATAAATTTTGTACAAATCAAAAATTAAAAAATAAATATAAATAAAAAGATAAGGAAATGTGCAATGAAAAACTAAAAAATAAGAAAGAGAAAAAAGACCTATTTTATGGAAACATACAAGAGTAGTAATTATACATATTTAAGTTAGTAAAAAAAGAATGATACATATTTAAGTTGAAATTTTAGAATAACCACGTCATATTTTATGTCTGTTGGTTTTTAGTCGGCGTATTAAAGTCGTCAATAATATTATTTTTCTTGGAAAAATTAGATTTTGGTTACTAAATCTAAACAAAATTGGTGTAAAGTGACTTCAAAATTGAGAAAAAGATAAATAAGAAACTTAATTAATAATAAGTGATCATTCAGTAGTTTATTACGTAAATATCTTTATCGATATATAATATATTTTTAATTGATCAAATTTATCCTAAACATTAATTAAACACTTTTGTTTTCTAACAATCGAACTGCACATTCTATCACAGAGGATAAGATGAAGACAGAGGGAAGGAACTGGGGCTGTATTTGAATTGTGTTGTGGTTTTTAAATTTTTTTATTTGGAAACAAGATGTGTGTGAATATATATATATATATATATATATATATATATATTCATAGACTATAGATATAATATTCTTAGTCTTGTGCTTAGCATGTTTTTCGACAGCCTTGAAAAAAGGATAAGGTTAATAAAGAAATTATAAATTTAAGTTATGAGGTTATTAAAGAAACCCTAATTTTATAATTGGTAGGCTACAAACTAAAAAGAAAAAAATAGAACAAGTAAGAGAGAGGAGAATGAATCCCGCAATTTTGTCATCTAAATATTATTTTTAGAATATTTAATAAACAATAAGCATTTTTTACCAAATTACCCTCAAATGGTCAATTATTTAATAATAATGTTTTAAAATTGGTCACTATCCCTCTTTTATGGACTATTAGGTCATTTTTTGACAAATTTGTTTAGATTTGGTCACCAAAATTTAATTTCTACATTTGTAATTGAATTATATCAGCTTTTAACAGGGAATAATTTACTCATCGGTAAATAAGCAATCAAGTCTTGTCATTTTTTTATTATATTGATAAACGTGAATTTCTAAGTTTATCTTTATAAAGAGACAAATGAGTCCTCGTAATTAGTGTATTTTTTTAATCAAATCAATGTCAAAAAGTATTATTATATACATACTATATGGTACATCCATTTTTGAAATGAGACATTTATGTTGGAAACTTTTTATGGTAGTGGTTTTTAATGCTTTTTTATTTTATTGATAAGAATGAATTTCTAAATTTATCCTTATTAAAAGACAAATGAGTACTATGTAATTAGTACATTTGTTTAATCAAATCAATGTCAAAAAGTATTATCAGAATGCTAATATATATATATATATATATATATATAGTACAACTATTTTTGAAATGGGATATGTATTTTGGAAACTTTTATGGTAGTAGGTTTCTAATGCTTTTTTATTATATTGATAAAAGTGAATTTCAAAATTTATATTTATTAAAAGATAAATAAATATTATGTAATTAGTGCACTTGTTTAATCAAGTCAATGTCAAAAAGTATTACGAGAATGTTATATAAAAAAAAAATAATACAACTATTTTTTAAATAAGATATGTATTTTATGACATCCCAAAATAGAATTCACAAGAATTTTGGTAGGAGAGGGGGTAACACTGAATTCTTCTATCAGTGTTGTTGGTTCACCGAAAATATAAAATGACAATTTTGTACTTTTACCATTATTGAAATGTCTTTTCAAGCATTTTAATAACAAAATTTGGGTTTTTAGATATTTTTCAAACACAAGTAGGCAACAGTGACATATTTTATAATAGGAGGGTCAATGTTATTTTTAAAATTGAAGGGAATGTCTATGTTATTTAGGCATTTTATAATGTGGTCATTGTAATTATACTTTTTCTATTCTTTCCATTGATGATGAAATGACAAGTTGTACAAAAGAAAATATAATAGTATTCCCAGTTCTTTATAAAAATAATCTTATTACTCCTTTTTTTTTTTTTTTTTTTTTTTTAATAACAAAATTGACAATACTACCCTTTAAGAGCGAATTGAAAGGGTAATTTTTGGATACTTATAGTGGGTGAGCGTTTCTACAAGACCTGACCTTTTTTTCCTGAATAAAAGTTGAAGTGTGAAATGAGAGTGTACTTTTATACCATAAAATATTGCTTTTTCGAGAAAAAAAAAAATGATGCATTCAATTTTTAAAAATATTCTATTCCCTTAGCAGCAAATAGCAAATAGGATCCACAATTATTTTTTTTATTTTTTATTTTTTTTCTTAAAGTACGTATATCGGCTTGCACCATTCAAATCAAGAGTTCGATTCGAAAGCGAAATTTCTAGGACTTACCTTTTGAATCCTTACCAACACCGCTATATGTTGAATTAAGGAATTCAAAAATGTCTAGAATGTCAAATGTTTGAATTAGGTATGTCAAAGATTGTATATTTGACCATAAAAGATATTCTAAGGATTGTGTTGCTTGATTCTAGGGATTATGACTAGAATCAAGCCTATAAATACTATGTAAAATTCATGAAATGATATGAATGAAATGCAATTCGTCAAATTAAATATGGTATCAGAGCGTGATTCAAACCCCATTTGATTCATTGTTCTAAATTTTTTTTTTCAAAAAACCCAAAAATTCATAGCCATCCTCAAAACCCAAAACCCGGAAATCTATAAGAATATGGAGTTTAAAACCCATTACCTATATCAAAACCCATATCGGCATATCATTTCAGATTGTTCAAAAAAAAAAAATCAAAAACCATTCAGATTGTTCAAAAAAAAAAATCAAAAACCATATCCTTCACTGAACCTTCTTTGTCTCTGCCCCTGCCATCACTAAACCCACAAGTTGACCACCTCTTGATTATCACTTTCATCATAATCTAGAGTTTGAATTTCCTTCTGGTACTCCCCTGAAATTCAGGTTTGGAGAAGTACATTGTATCTTCATGGAAAACAATATCCATCGTGACAAATAATCGACGTGTTGGAGGATGATACCGATATCCTTTTTGATGAGTGGCATATCCAACAAAGACACATCGCAATACTTGAGGAGTTAACTTGGTGCGTTAATGCTTGTGTAGATGGACGAATACCACACAGCCAAATAAGTGAGGAGTTAAATTTGAGACAACTGGGGCAACAATTGCATCAGTAAGGGTTTGGAAGGGTGTTTTAAAATTGATGGTGCTGGAGGGTACCCGGTTGATTAAATAAGTTGCAGAAGTTAGTGCTTCTCCCCAATAAGATAATAAGATAATATCAAATGGGATTCGATTAATGAAGCTCTGACAACCGCAACAAGTGTCGATTTTTCTGCTCGGCCACCCCATTCTGTTGGGGTGTGTTGGAGCAAGTGGTGTGATAAATCATTCCTTGTGCTTCAAAATAACGTTGAAATCCAGTGCTCTAATATTCTCCACCATTGTCACTGCGAAGAACTTGAATCTTTCTATTGTACTGAGTTTCAACCCTTTTATAAAACTGTTGGAATATTGAGTGCACTTCACTTTTGGATTTCATTAGGCAAAGCCATGTCATCCTGGTACAATCATCAATGAACGTTATAAACCAACGTGACCCACCCAAAGTAGTGACATTAGATGGTCCCCAGACATTAGAATGAATAATCATAAAAAAGAATGGACTTTTGTTCAATCGTAATGGAAACGAAATACGATGGTTTTTCATAAGTTCACAAACATCACAATGAAAACTAGAAACATCAACTCTAACAAATAAACTGGGAAATAATTTTTTAAGATAGCCAAAGGAAGCATGCCCAAACCGGTGATGCCATAACCATATTCCAGAAGGAAATTCAAACTCTAGATTATAATGAAAGTGATAATCAAGAGGTGGTCAACTTGGATATAAGTGGTATAACATTGG